TATACACTTTTGGTGCTTAATTTAAGTAGTCTACCTAAAGTATTAGTACTATACTAAAGGTTTTATACTATCTACTATACCTGTATCTAACTATAGAAGTACCTATTTAAACTTCTTAATCATACTTTTTTTTTTAATTTTATCACAACTACTCCAACTATATATATTACTATTATATTTTAAACAAGGTTTTTCCTTAGTTTTTTTTTAGTTAATAGTAGTTCATTAATTTAAATTAGCTTTAAAATAAAAAATTAAAGATGTAATATTATATCAAATTTGATGTTTATAGAAAATCTATCTGTTTAACTATTATGTATTTATATGATACTTTGTAAAAGTTATTCACTTTTCTATATATAATATTAATATTAATAAAAAAAATACTATTTTTTATAATATTAATTTATAAAATTACAACTTTTTTTAATTATTTAACCAAAATTTTTGACTAAAGAAAAATGAAAATTTTGTTAAAAATAATATAAATTTATACTAGAAGTAATTGTTTTTATAGAGATCAATCTTTAGCTTTAAGAGAACTTCTTTATATATTTAGTATACAAGCTAAAAGTATTATTATATAAGATTACTAGAAGGTAGTGTTCTTGTATAAAAAATTTTTATAGAATTAATATTCTTCTATTGTTAAAGCTTTCTAAATAGACCAAAAATACAAAGAAATAAAAATAAATTTTTAAAATTTAATATATTATATACAAGTAATTTCTTTCTTATAGCTTTTTCTTATTTTTCTGTTTTTCTTTTAAAATTTTAATAAAAAGTAGGGATTTGGCTTACTTCTTCCAAAAAATTAATTTTGTTTACTTTTTAAATTTAAACAAATTTGATAAATAGCAATTATATGTCTTGTTAATTTATAAATAAGCTATTTATTGAAACTATATAATTAAAAAGAAAATATATATTAAAATAAAGCTTTACAAATAAGATATATAATAAGTTGCAATTGCTATAATTTTTTACTAGCCTGGTACAAGTTATAATAGTATATTTTTTAGTTAATTTTTTGGTGATTATTTTTTTTTAGTATGTTTTGGTTTGTCATCAAATTTATATTTGATTGTCTATTTCTTAATAAAAGTAACACTCTTTTATTATTAGCTTTTAGGCTTTCTTTTTGTTTTTTTTTTTTTATATTTTTTTTTTTTTTATTTTTTCTTTAATATTTTCTTATTTTATTATATATGTTTTGTTTTTAGTTTTATTATTATTTTTTTTTAGTATATGTTTTTGTATTATATATATGAAACTATTACTTTTTTTGCTCTCAGTAAAAAAAAAAAATTGAAAGAATTAGCTTTAGATAGGCTAACAAAGTTTTTCAACTTATATATAAGTAGTATAACAGGTTGCTTCTAGGCTTGCAAATTATAGCCAGAAGATACCAGGCTTGCAATTTCAAAAAATCTTTTGTTTAGTTTTAGTGATAATGTTTTATTATTAATTAAATAAATAAAATTTGTATTTGAGGTTTGACAAAACTGTTAAAAAGCTAACAAAAAAAAAAGAGTTTATAAAATTTGTATAATATAAATTAATTTAATTTTATTAAAAAAAAAAATTAAAATTTAATTAAATTAAAACTAAATAAAGTGAAATCACTATGTAAAATTTTACAAAAATTTTATAATAACTAAAATTTTAACACTATAATAATATATAAATTAAATTTAAACCTATCTAACTGCAAATAGCAAATTTAATTAAAATTATATTTAAATTTTTAATATTTTTAGCTTTGAAAATGGTTATATAAATTAGAACAAGATACGTATTACGTATTAAAAATACTGTAGCATCAATTATAATATATTTAAATGTGTTATATATTTTTGAATTGAAAAATATAAAAGTATTTTAATACTATATATAGTACCTTAAATTAGGCATATAATAAGTCTCACTTATTGACCAAGATATTTGGCATGCCAGTATAACAAACGATGCATGTCTGTGATTTTGTGCTATTTTATCTTAGTAGAAAAGTTTAACATATAATTTTTAGTCAAATACTTTCAAACTTATCAGTTATCAGTTATGTACGTACATATGTGTACGTATTTATGTACAGTACGTACGAAAATAATATTGGTAGATATCCACAATTACTAATGTTGGACATTATAGTCACGTAATATTGTTATGAAATGGTTTAATGTATCACATAATTACATCTGTTTTTTTTTGTTTCCCATTATAAGCAATTAAAATAAGAATAGATACTAAATTGGGTTCTTTATGTTGATTTTTGTAGTTTTGATAGACTAACCAATCATGACTTCGGCCCGTCGGATCAACAAAAAAGACTGGTTGCAGAAAAAAGCAGGAATCTTCCACTTTTAGTAATCCGTACATTTGCATTCACCGAGATCCATAAATGACAATAGTACAAGAGAATATAAAATTCGGATATTAATTTTATCTGACGCTCTTATTTCTAGTTACCATAAACATGACAAATTTTAAATTATAATGGTATACAAATCTGTCTTCTGGTTTTAAATTTTACATGTAAAGAGAATTGTGTATATACGTCTCTAAGGTAGGTGCGATTTTACATTAAAAATCACGTGTATTACAAATACAAGATACATAAATAGTATTTTAAAGAATTTAATTACATTATTTGTAACACATACTACTTAATTAGACTACACTTAGATAAAACTGGATTTTTTTTTTCGCAGTATCACCGTTTTTTTTGAAAAATAAACATACGCCCATATGATTAATACTGATTCATCATAATAGTATGTATGAAAATATCAAAGATTTTACATTCAAAGTTTTTTCAAATTGGGAAATTATAAATGTAAAAAATTCACATGATTTGTTCAAAAAAATTTCTACCTTGAAAAAAAAAATTTTTTTTTTTCTAATATTGATGTGAAACATTAAATTTCTATTTTAATTTACTTACAAAGGACAAATTGGTTTTGCAGTGTCGGTATGGGGGGCGTACTTATTATTTTGGATTGTCATCAACAGTAGTGATCAACATTTTACATATGTACTCCGGATTATTATCTTTTTTTGAAAAAAAATTTTTAAACACCTGCACGAAAAAAATTGTTATTTAAATTTACCAAATTAGGTTAATATATTTAGATTTCGGTGTTTTAGCGCATACTTACTGATACGTACATTCGTATATACTGTACATACTTATGTACGTATCAGGTATTTGTTTAGTTATCTAATACCTGATACGTATCAGATATGGCAAATTACGAATAATCGTTAATAATCGTTAACGCGTGTGTTCTATTATTGATGTTATTGACTTCAAAGAACGTACACACGTAACGTACGTACGTACGTACAGTATATCTGATATAGAAATATAGAAGTCGTTTTTATTACTATGGAATGTTTCAAGATTATCACGATTAGTGATACGAGGTGATGTGATGCCAAGAAAAAATCCGTAAATCATGCTCTTCGAATACAGTACGTATTTTACTTTATAAATTGAGCACTTGAGATTTTAATATTATTTGGATCATCCTATTAAAACGACTTCAATATTTAATTCTGTGTTTTAGGATATTTTAATTAAAAGTAAATAATCAAAATGATTTACAGGTTTTCTCTTGGCGTCACCGTACATCTTTTTTAATTAAATTTAAAAATAGCAATGTATAATAACATCGAAGCTAAATTCTTAGAAAAAATGTAATTTATTAATAAAAAAAAAAGCGTCAAATTTTACAAACAGTTTGACAATTGTTTTGTCTTTCCTGCTTTGACTTACTATAAAATTAGTAGCCTGATCGTGTATCCCTAATTTTATCTGTGAAATGTATAAGATTGAATATTTAATTATTAAATAATTAAATTCGGAATAAAATATAATAATAAATTAATTAATCTTTGATAATGCATTGAAACCTTTAAGAATATTTAATACCATTTACTGGTATCAATCATTAATTTATTAAATCTTGAAGTTTTTGCTTCACGTAAAAAATTAAAAAATTAAAAAATTAAAAGAAACCATTTAGATCACATCGCGTAATATGACTTACTAATCAAAATGACGCGTGAAATCATTTTTTCAGGCGCAAGCAAAATAAGGAAACCGTATAGTTCAAAATAACGCGTCCTTGCGCGAGATTTCTTGCGCGTTATTTTAATGAGTCAAAATTTTGAACTGATTGTACATATATCAAGTCTGCTAGTACACATTATACAAAGTAAGCACTGCTTTGGACGCGCTTGATAATTTTAAATGAACGCTGTTTCGCGACTTTATGATAATTAGAACTTAGAATCATAATAGGAAGAAATATCTTCATTTGAATCTTTTTATTATTATCGATAACTATATTTGGCATTTTGTATAACTAACTGACTAATATACAGTATAAATCAATTGCCTAAATGCATTCAAACTATCATAAACGACATTTTGTAATTATACATATATATATATATATGTAATTTTTTTATATAGATATATACTGTGGATATTGTTTAATTAATACAGTAATAATATAGTAATTCAAAAGATTGTAATAGCCAAACAAATTATTTAAAAAATTAATAATGTTTCTCAATTAATAATAATATAGCTTCAAGTATTACAAAAGCAGTAATAATTAAAATAGAATTCCTATTCAAAAAAAACAATAAACATAATTTTAACCAATCAAATGAATGAATGAATGTTCTCTCCTACGCGATCGGCATCCCTCATTTTTTATTTTACTTCGAGAACGACGTTTTATACGTAGTATCTTTTTTTTTTTTTTTTTGTTTATTATTATTATTATTATTAAAACAAATTTATATGCAAAAACATTAGCCAATAAAAAATTGTTAATGTAAAACTCGCAAAATACAAAATCTAATTTTACTTCTAACATATCACATCACATCACCATCACAATAATAACATAATACCTGAAAAAAATTTTTTTTAACTCAATTCAATTCTCACATATCTCACATATCCCAAAATATATTACAAAATCCTACTCATTTTCATTCTTAGCCTCTTCAACCTTTTGTGTTGGTGTTTGTTCCATTTCCGCCGATTCTACTTCACTTGGTTCTACGCCAGTCATTACAACATCATTAGCAGTTCCATTACTTTCATTATCGGATAAACTTTTTGTATCACCATCCCCATCATTATTCTTCTTATTATTATTATTACTCTTTAATTTTTTCGAAGATCTTCCAGAACTCGTTACATCACCACTCTTACTTTTTCTACCTCTTTTTACATTAGAATGAGATGATGGACTTGATTTAATATTATTATTATTATTATTATTATTATTATCATTTCCACCATCACCACTATTTAAATCATTAACATTTCCAATAAATTCATCATCTTGACCAACTTTTGGTTCATAAACTATAAATCTATTACCTAAAGTAGCTCTTGTAACAGATCTAAGTGATTTTGATTTATCGGAATTTGGAGATTTTTTTCTACTTGAAGATTTTTTCTTATTAGAAGAATCAATAGTATCGGATGAAGCTTGTTGTGATTCACCTGATTCCGATTCAGGTCTTGGTGGTACCATTGAAATCATTGACATATCAGATTGTTGTTGCGGTAATGGTGGTAAAGGAGTTTTTTCACGATCATTTTGATGAGAAGAAGAAATATGAGAAGATTTTGTTAAATCTTTTTTATGTTTATTACCACGTTGAGTTGATGATGAAATAGGTTGATTTCCATCATTTGATAAATTTGATAAGTTTGATAAATTTGATAAATTTGATACGGGAGGAGAAGAGGAATGATGATAAGGTTGATCATAATTAATTTGTTGTTGTTGTTGTTGTTGTTGTTGTTGAATAGGTTTATTATCACGTGGTCTTTGAGTCGAATCATGTTGTTGATGACGAATATCATGTAATTGATTATTATATTGATGAATATCTTGTTGAGCATGTTGAGGAAGTTGCCATACAGAAATATTTGGAATCTGCTTTGTAAGAGGATGATTATTCTGCCAATTTCGAACCGATACAGGATAAAAGTCTGAGTACATATTGAATTTATTTTTATTTTTGAAAAAATTTTAGCAATAAATATAAATAAAAAATTTATTATTAGCTTACTTTTGAATTATTCCTCAAGTAAGTACCAGCTTTATCGTGACGCGTACCTTGATCAGAAATTAATTCGGCTATTTGTTCAGCCGAAGGAGGATCCGAACCACCAGTAACATTTGAAACGACAGGATGAGAAGAAGGATTTGGAGGACCTTGAGTAGACATACGTTGCATTATTTGATGATAAGCTTGTATACCCTTAAAAAAATCTTGTTCTAAAGAATCTTTATTATTTGGATCTTGTTGATTTTGATTAATTTGTATGGCATTTACAGGAGGACTTCTATGAGAAGGTTTAACAAAAGAATGTTCGGAAGTTCTTGATGGTAAAACATTTGAATAATTAAAAGCGGGAATTTTTTCCATTTCCATTAATCTAGAAAAATTTTTTGCTAAAGAACTAACACCTATAACCGAAGAATTTGTAGAACCAGTTATTGAAGGTTTTCCAATTTTTCTTGTTGATTGATCAACATCAAGTTCAGTAGCTTCAATATATAATTCACCGTTATCAGCATGAAGAAAAAATCCCGAAATAAAAAGTTGTGAATATAATTCCCAATTTAAAGCCATATTATCCCATTTATCATTATCAATTTGATAACCAATACGAAATCTTTGATCGATTGAACGACGAGAATAATGACTATCAAGAGTTGATTTTGTTCTAACAAATTGTGAATTTTCTAGTTGACGTAAAGAACCAGGAATAGGTTGAGTATTAAAACTCAAATACGGTGAAGATAATGGTATTTCTTCTGATTCCCAACACCCTGATGATGGTTTCATAAACGGCGTTGCAACCGATACGTTGATCTAAAAAAATATATATATTTATTATATATATATATTTATATATTCTTTTTTTAAATTATAAACTTATTTTTATAAAAAAAAATTAATTACCGTGAAACATTCAATTTTTTCAGCAATTTCATAAGAAAATTTTCCCACCATCGTGACAACATCACCTTCAGAGAATGGAAGACAATATTTTGTTTGTCTTGCACTTGGTAATATTTTATAACGAATGGTTCCGAATTGGTTCTCTTCATATCTATAACGTCCAATTCCATACTCCACACCATTTTGTCGCGATTTTTTATCTATAAGAGCGACAACATGCATAGTAGATGACATGATTTTTTTTTAAAAAAAAAAAAACTTTATTTTTATTTTTGTATTTTTTTTTTTTTTAAAATATTTTTTTATAATGGGTTTAAAAATATTTTTTTCAAAAATTCAAATTTTTTTTTAAAAAAAATTCTTTTTTAAATTTTTTTGAAACGAGAAAAAAAGTGGAAACAAGAGAGAGTTGATGAAAATGGAAAGAAAACTTTTTGTAGAATTTTAATAAAGAAATAGAATACGAGACAAAATAACGCTTTAAATGTACAGCCGAAGTGCTTAATATAAATTGCCAGATACGGAAAGAGAAGAAGGAGTAGATCAAATTTCGAAAAGTCAGAAAACAAGGAAAAAAAGAGTTCAGTTTTTTTCTAATTTTACTTTTTAATAAACAAGGGAATCATGATGTAAGGGGGGGTTCAATAAATATGTATGCGAGGAACAGTGTGACTAATGGTGTGCCGGAATTCCCAACCAAAATTGTGATGAAAGAGTAAAATTAGAGTTTTTTTGTCGAATTATTGCTTAATCAGGTAAGCTTAAAAAAAAACCATAAAGAATTCAGAAGCGGTACAAAGGTATCATGATCAAAGTATAGTATAAAAATGGTATCCATATTATCTATCGTGAAACATTAAATTGATAGTTTCACAGATAACATTTGAATAAGATTCCTATTTAAGTCATCCATTTATGGACCGAAACGTTCACCAAATTTTTTCTGCGAAACTCGTTATGTCAGATATCTTATTCATAGATTTCCATAGATTTTTTTTTTTTTTTCCTTAAAAAAAAAAAAAAAAATTTTTTTACAAGAAATATATTTTAAGGAATAAACCCCTTTCATTAGATATATGTTACTTTACTGTATTATCGTTATAGTCAATTAATAATTCTAATAATTCAGATCACTAACCCCATTCTAAATTAAAGTTTTTTGTTTTAGCGCCGTAATACGCACATCTCCTTTCATTTTCTGTAAAAAGAAATTTTTTTGAAATCATATAAATTTTATTTGCTTATTTACACTTCAAATTTAGAAAATTCGGGTGATGGTTAATTGAAGCAATCAATAGAAATAATTAATAGAAGTAATCAATAGAAGTAATCAATAGTAATCAATAGAAGTAATCAATAGTAATCAATAGTAATCAATTATGAAAAACTCTCTTAGTTGATCGAAAGCCTCTTTTTTAAAAAAAGAAGTTATCATATTTATCATATATTTACTACTTTAATCTCTTATCCCTCAAATTATTAATGACTCATTTTTCGTTTGCTTAAAATAGCATAACCTTTAAAGTTTGGTTCAAATATTATTGATCAAAATATTTCTTATATTAAAGTTATATTGTCGACTTATAAAAGGATAGTCCCTTTACCAAATACGTCAATATATGCTACGTATCTGTTATCGTTAGCTGTACATACATACGTACGTACATACCTTTTTTTCGAACTTTATCAATACTGTTTTTTCCTTATTGAATAAAATTCACATTCAAAAAGACTTTCTATAATTAACAAATAATGAATAATATCAAAACGATTAAAGGTTGTTAAAAAAACTATTCAAAACTTACTAATTACTTTTTTCATCGTATTCAATCAAAATTACGTACAAATATGTTTTGATTCACGAATCCTTTTTATGTTATGTTATTTCCACAAACGGATGCAGGAAAATCAAAACACATAAAAAAAATCCTGTTTACAAGAATTATTCATATTAAATTATGCGTAACAATAAAATTTTACTTTTAAACTATGTATGTTTAACAGTAACGTTAACAGTAAAAATAATATCTTACCGCCAAATTGATAAAAAAAAATTTTTTTTAATTTTTTATAGAATGAAAATTTCACAAAATGATCGAGTTAATTACTAATGAATGTAATGTCATGTGTAACAACCATATCGATATCGTAACTATCGTAACTAGGACACGGAATAAATTTTTGTTAAAAAAATTGTTTTAGATTAATAACAGATAACAGATAACGAAAAATTTTTTATTACTATAAAATTTTTGTTTGAGATTTTTACTAAAAACGCACCTATGGTATTTTTACTCCCTATGCAGTCTCAAAAAAAAAGAAAATCTTAATTAAAAAATTGGTGTATTGTACTTTAATAGTTAAGTAAAAAATGTAAAAAATGATTTACGTTTCCAAAAATTCATTCAAATAAAATTTTGACCTAACGATAAAAATCTAAGTTAAATAAATTTGTATATATTTGAAACTTTTAAAAATTTATAGCCCATATTTAAACATTGTAAACCATATTTACTGTATAATAGATGCGAAACACCAATAGCAATAATTTAATGCAATTAATTTTTTTAAAAATATTTAGTGTTAGACGAAATTTACAAGTTTCGTCACAAGCGAAAGTCGAAACTTCCGTCAGAAAAAAAAAAACGTAACAAAACGATTACCCGAATTTGGGTAAAAACTATAGATGTTGGTGAAATATGGTGAAATGTGGTGAAATAATTTCACCACTATTGGTGAAATTGGTGAAATTAATTTCACCAGCATCTATAGTAAAAACAGATTCCCGAAAGAACATAATACCGACAAAGTTAGCCAGCACTAGTTATAATGCTGGTCGATTTAGTCAGTGTTATGTTCTTCGGGATTTTGTCCCAAAATCAAAAACGATTACCCCAGGCATCCCCAGAAATTTGGGTTGATTAACGTCATTGCCGCAGGGACAGCTATAGATAAAAAAAAAACCACCATTTCATTTTACTAAAACGCACCTATGGTGTTTTGCATTATCTTAAAAATTGGCTAATTAATTAAAATGCGATACTCTAAGTAAAAATACTCTACGTAGTGCTTAAAATTAACCTGCGAAATCTGCGGAACGCAGACTAAAAATTCTGACAGGTTGGTGAATAGATTAGTCGTGCCATAAAAATGTCGAGGTCTCGTGATCACCGACCGTAAATTATTTTTGCTGTTTTCATTATTCCTGGGACACCTATAAAAAATTAGCCGAATGATTTTTCGGCCGATCCGGTTAAGTTATTTTTTTCGGCATGATCGGTATATATAAAAAATATATTTTTGAATTCTTATTTATTGTAATATTGATATAATATCTACGTCATAAATTAAATGTTCGTCCAATTTCAAAAATTACCATAATAAATATAATACTTGTTTTACAAATTATTTTATTAATATAAATGTCAATATTATTGAAATTTCGTTTGAACGCTTGCCCAATATGCGAAAGTTTATGGGAAAGACTGTTCTTGTCAACCAATAAAACTTGTCAAGAAAAATAAAAAAGGCTCAAATTAGCTTTTATAATAAATATATTACACGAATAGGTGATAATATTAAAAAAGTTAGATACGATCAAGAATTCGTCGATTGGACTAAAAATTCAACTAAAAATTCAACTAAAGTCGAGATTCCAAAAAATAATTAATATATGTCAAAAATGCGTTAAAAATTATGATCAACAAAATCAAAGCGAAACAGTAGATCTAACTCTCTAAAATCTTTATCATCCATGACAAATACTTTTGAGTTATCTGACTTGTCTGATTCAGAATTAATTGGATATTATTAACATGAAAGAACTTGAATCAGAAGCTATTAATACAAAAGTGCCTTTTATAAAATTGTTAAAAGGTTATAAATAAAAATATGTATATGAAATATTACCTTTTTGTGCGTATATCCATGTTGGTGTATAGCCCTCCAAATTGTTGTAAGAAAGTTCCATCTCGGATTGTAATTCAAATAAATACATTAAAACTTTAAGATAATTTATATCATTCATGTTTAAAGAACGTGGTTTTCCTGAAAGCGATGGAAGTTTTTCAATACAACCATATCTTTGAAAATGTACAATATCCCGACTTATAGAAGACGTGCTAACACCTAAGTGTTTTGCAATTTTTGAGTTGATAAGTCTTCTAAATTATTTGCTAGCGAATGTAGTTTGAAAGTATCATATTTTTTGAATTCATGTGCATAATTTTTTTTTATATTTATATTATCCACCTGATTTTAAATTACATCAATTTTTATTGAATTTATTATGCCGAAAAAAATAACTTAGCCGGATCGGCCGAAAAATCAGCTAATTTTTTATCAGGTGTCCCAGGAATAATGAAAACAGCTGTAATAAGCTTTAGAAGAGGTCGTGATCACAAGACCGCAACATTTTTAAGAATTCATTCCGTAAATATATTTTTTTAAACATATGCTGATTTTTCTTATATTATACATCTATTTTTTATTCCGCAGATTTAAGATATTGATTATAATTTTTAAAAACTATAGAAATTAACTCAAATGAAATTAGATATACCATATATCAGTATATATATTAAATGATATACAGTAAAACCTCAATAAGTGCTCTTTTTGAGACCAAAACTTTACAATGTGCACTTAGAGAATAATAAGGAAAAGTGCATTTATCAAGGTCATGTATATATTTGGGCTAGAATTTAAACTGTGCATTTAGAGTGAGTGCACTTAGAGAGGTTTTACTATACATAGAGTCGTATTAAATAAATTTTCTGCAAATATTTTATTAATTAAAAATGTAATCTACAAATTAATATGCTATTTCCGCAACTTTTGATTATAATATAAAGTTATTATTATAAAATACCTTTGCATATACTGTATTGCAATATATACTGTAAAAAATATATTCCGTATATAATTTTAAATTCCAATTTTAAACACTGGCTCTACGTCCTCAAAATCCTTAATACTAAATATTAACACCCACATGAAAAATTTGCGCCAAAAATTTTATATAAAAACTTATAAATATAAAAAAAAAACATATAATAGGTGTTAAAACACCATAGTTGCAATAAATGTTACTTACTCTAAATTCAGAAATATGGTTTAAAAAAGAAAATAACATTTTGCAATAATTAAAAAATTATCCGTTTTATACACTTGTAATTCTTTTCATATCTACCATCACGAGATTTTCTTTTTTTTTTGATCTTTGGTGGTTGGAT